CTTGGGTAGCTTTGCCCCATCTTCCCTCCCTCTCTCTCCCTCCCTCCCTCCTCTTCCTTACTTCCCTTCCTCCGTTCCAGTTTCTTTCCTTATCAGAAGTTAGTTTCCTTCCTTCCTTTCTTCCCCTTCCTTCCCTTCCTCCTTCTCTCCTTTTCTCCTCCTTTCCACATTCCTTCCTTCTCTCCCTCCCTCTTTCCCTCCCCTCCCCTCCCATCCTTTCCTTTCCTACACCTACTTACCTTCCTCTCTCCCTCCATTCCCTTCCTCCTCCTTTCCTTTCCTCTCTTCCTTTCTCTTATTTCCTTTCCTTTCCTCCAACTATCTACCTCCCTCCCTCCCTCCCCTTTCCTCCCTTCCTCCTCCTTTCCTTTCCTCCCTCCCTCCCTTCCTACTCACTTACTTACAATCCCTCCTTTCCCTCTCAACAACAATCCTGACACTAGGCTAGGTGAAGGAGGTTTCCAAAGTATCTTGTGAGCTTCCATAGCTAAGCCTGCCTTTCAATCCAGGTGCCTCTGTTCCTAGCTAGGGCCTCAACCTTCCGGCACAATTTCACATTCAGAACTCAATCCTAGAAGGTTTGTCCAATGGGATGTTCCATTCAATTTGAAAATAACCTTACTGTGCTAAATCCTTCCCCCTCTCTCCACTTGGGAGTCTCCTGCTAGCAAATGCTAGCAATTTCCCACAAATGGCATGCCCTAACTTTCCAGGGAGTGTAATAAGTAGTTCTCTCTCTTGAAAACAGATCTGGAAGAAGAACCTAACAAGACATATCCATAAAGCCATCAGAAACTGACCGCTTCTAAGGACATTTTACGGCTTCAGTTGTTAAGTTAAAATTACTTGCCCAATAGTTCTGCGCCAGCTTCATGGATGAGCCAGGATATGAACCTCAACCCAATAAGGACAATACCAACTATTCATAATGTGCAGTTTGGCTGATTTAGCGGAGAAATTTTCCTATTGTAGGCAGCTCTTTGGTAGCTTTAACATTTTACAGGGATTTTTTTAAAAAAAGAAACCCGCAAGGATAGATGCAAGCAACATGGCTACAGTTGTGCCACAAGAAGAAGAAAAGGATTTGCAAAGGGCCATAAAAAAACTGGTAGGTTGCTCATTCATTCTGGTTGCCCACTAACCTTATTGGGCAGGATTATTGAAAACATGCTATTCCTCACTCTAGAAAAATGGGTAATTCATTACCTGGGTTGTTTCCAATCTATTTTGAGCCATTATCTTGAGCAACAAAGATGACTAGGGGACTGGAGGCTAAAACATACGAAGAACGGTTTCAGGAACTGGGTCTCTTTAGTCTAATGAAAAGAAGGACTAGGGGAGACATGATAGCAGTGTTCCAATATCTCAGGGGCTGCCCCAAAGAAGAGGGAGTCAAGCTATTCTCCAAAGCCCCCGAGGGCAGGACAAGAAGCAATGGATGGAAACTAATCAAGGAGATAAGCAACTTAGAACTAAGGAGAAATTTCCTGATAGTTAGAACAATTAATCAATGGAACAACTTGCCTCCAGAAGTTGTGAATGCTCCAACACTGGAAGTTTTAAAAAAGATGTTGGATAACCATTTGTCTGAAGTGGTGTAGGGTTTCCTGGCTAAGCAGGGGGTTGGACTAGAAGACCTCCAACTCTGTTATTATATTATATTCTAAGTTCTCAAAGTGCAAAATTGGGATACTTTCATAAGATTGAGATGGACTAAGATTGCAAGGGTTGGGTCTACAACTCATCCTTCCATTGTTCTTCCCCTCCCTCTAAAAAAGAACTCAGAGCCCAATGTCAAAATCTGAGATCAAAATGGCTGAATTACAGTGGTATGATTTCACGTTTGTTTGTTTTAAAAACATCTTCAGTTGCATACTCGGTGGCTCGATGCAATTCAACATTGTTGAGCCTTGAAGACCATGAAGGAAGGAATGATAGACTGCAGTTGCTAATGGAGATCCTCAGTTTACAGATGCATTCCTTGGAGTAACTGGAAACAATGAAGAAAACAATTCACAACCTACAACCGAGACCCCTGGATCACATTTTCCCCTCGAGTTAAATTTCTTTTTTTTCCCCCTTTAACCCAAAGGCTCTCTTAAAAAGGGAGAACAAGTAATAAACATATATGCGAAGTCCACATCGTTCTGAAATCATGTTTTTTAAGAGGAACATATTCCAGCTGTGGTCAGACGTTAGCCAAAGGTGCAGATGAGTTCGCGGCCTGCCAATAATCAGAGTAGAAAACTCTGCCATCGGCTTTAGTAGAGCAAGGATTTAAACCTCAGCTTTGTATCAGAGTCTCGCACAGATTTGTCTCTTTTTCCCACATACATATATTGTGTTTCCCCGAAAATAAGACCCTGTCTTATATTTTTTTGCCACCAAAAAAGGCACCAGGTCTTATTTTTGAGGGATGTCATCCACTCATCAACCTCACTTGCTTGTGTCACCTCTGGCCTCCTTTTCGCTGGCAGAGGCCTTCAGGAACTTCTTCATCTGTGCCTTGGCAAAGCTTTCCTGAAGGCCTTTGCAGCTGGTAACAGAGCTCTGGATGGATCCAGAGCTTTGTTATCAGTTACAGAGGCCTTCAGGAAAGCCTTGCCAGCCTTGCTGGCTGCAGAAGAAATAGGCCAGCAAGACAGATGTCAGGGTGTTGGAGGCCTGGCTACAACTGTCCAAAGGTAAGTAGTAGGGCAGCTTCACCCTCCTCCCATCCCCACCCTAGGTTAAGTTTTACCCATCCACTCTGGAGTGGGTGGGATCTTAATTAGGGCTTATTTTTGGGTAGGGCTTATATTGGGCTCATATGTAAAATCAAGCAAGGACTTACTTTCAGGATAGGCTGTATTTTCGGGGAAACTGAAACTGAAAGAACTTGGCTGGGTTCTCTGTGGTCAGTTTTCCTATTAGTGAAAAGTTTTTTTCCCCCACTGATTGGGAGTTTAACCTCTTAGAAATGAAGACACTGACCTTCCCACTGGATATATGCATATGCATTTATGCATGAAGCAGAGACGGAAACATTTCTATCTGGACTTCACTTTTTTAATGAGTAAAATGCCTCTAATGTATGATTTCAATCACCTCATCTGCTGCAGGGGGTTATACCATATTACAAAAGCACACAATTAGCTTTGTACTAAAATGATGCAATTAGTAGTACGTAGGAACTAGAACAATGTGAGTAAAACAACAAGAATATTAGTAAGGGCCTAGAATATTATCGACCCTGGCATCAAACCCTGATGTATATTTTTAATAGAATTTAGGTGAACAAAGTGAGGACAAACAATAGAATGAATCCGGAGCTGTTTTGGACACTAATGTTTGGTTCCATGGACATAGTTTTGTAATCTTTGTTTATTTGGTTTGGTTTGATTTACTATTTGTATTTCAAGACAAATTAGAATATGATGGGATGGAATAGGAATAGGAGAATGGAATGGAATGGAATAGAATAGAATAGAATAGAATAGAATAGAATAGAATAGAATAGAATAGAATAGAATAGAACAGAATATTGGAATGAAGAATTAGATTAGATTAGATTAGATTAGATTAGATTAGGACAGAATGCAGAATAGAATAGGATAGGATAGGATAGGATAGGATAGGATAGAATAGAATAAAATAGAATGGAATGGAATGGAATGGGATGGGATGGGATGGGATGGGATGGGATGGGATGGAATGGAATGCAGAATGCAAAATGCAAAATGCAAAACACAGAACAGAACAGAACATAATTCTTTCTGGCCAATTGTGATTGGACACACAAGGAATTTGTCTCCTGTGCCTAAGCTCTCACTGTACATGTTGTGCAAATTCTTCAAATCAGAATTCAACCTTCATGCAATTGGTTTTTCTCCCTTTTCTTTTCTTTTTTTTAAAAAGATACCGTGGTTATGTGTATACATGCTCATCCGCACAAGTACAATCGCACTGTTTAGCTGTATGGCTATTTTCTACAAAGAAAAGAAAAGAGCAACCACATTATTCTAATGGGAGATGCCTTCCTAGGGATTTAGTTTCAATTTTCCTTTCTTGGGCAGAGATCTCCCCACTTCTCGTTGGCCACACACCGCAAAGGCTATTATGGTACAAGTCTCTGGATCAGAAACCCCGGATTTTGTTTTTTAGGAGCAAACTACCTTGAAGGTCAGTTTAACATGTCTGGAGGCTTTTGTGGCTGTTGTTTTAAGACTTGGCCAAATAATATAAGGAGACGTTAACTC